TTTATGCTTTGTTTCTCCAATTTCAAATATAAAGCTAACAGTAGGAGATAGATAAGTGATTGATCTACCAAAAGTTATAGATCATGAAGGAGATTCTTATGATGTCGAAATAAAAACTAAAATGGGAAATTTATTTTTATAGGCAACTAATAAGAAAATAATTATTAATCCTGTTGAGGCTGTTGTTGGAATTCATTAAGTTGTTTTGATTATTTCAGATAAAGTCAGTGATTCAAAATAAAGTAAATATAAATTTTAGATAACTATAAAAGCCGAAGTCTCTTCCTATTATGAATCATTGCTTTAAGATTCAAATTTATTCAATGATTACAAGAAAACTTTAGATTTCAAGACAATTGGGAATATTGAAGCTAGAATTTCTAAAATATCTGTAACTGGATTAGTTACAATTACTTTTGCTTAGAAAATATAAGAAATCTAATAATCATTAACAAAATTATAATAGGCTATTCAGATTGAATTAGAAACAAAATATGAAACTTAGAAATAAGCTTTTACAATTTAATAGTTGACGGATTATCAGATAATTGTTCAAGTTAATTTTACTAATCCTTACATTATATCAAACTACTCAGTAATTTTTAAAATATAAACTTTTTAGGAATGGGATCGACTAGTAGTTAAATTTAAGTTGTTCTTTCTTTTTTATGATACCTCTGAAAAATTCATAATGAGAGAAGGATATTAGATTAAAGGCTATATACCTCCTTAAATGTCCTTAGGTTTGAGAGATATACTTAATAATTTAGGACTAACTACTTCAATTTCAATGTCAAGTATTATGGGATCCAATATAATCATCAATATACTCATGTAATATTTTAGTTTTTAATTTATTGGTTGATATAGGTCTCAAAGCATCTAAATGCTATGGGGAATGATAAATAGTTTCTAATTAATAACTCACCTTCCTTTGATGTCTGTTAAAACCCCAGCAAATTTGGCTCTTTTCTTCAGCTTTATTCTAGATGTATCTAGTTTTTAGTTTTTCGATGTGGAACTTTTAAATTAATTTCTATTTGAGTATGATCCAGATAAGGTGGATGACTCTGCATTCAATCCTTATTTTGAAAGAATGGGATATACATCGACCAACTTAATTAGAAATCTCGGACTTATATTTTACTTATACTGTTTCCTATTAGCAAGTATGATTGTATCTCTCAATCTGTACTTACTTTTGGGTAAATCATAAAAGTATTTATCTAACGATCTTTATGTAATTTTTATAGATTAATGATTGGGAAAATAGTGAGGCAATATAAAAATTTCGTGTACTTCAACTTTATTATAAGATTTTTCATAGAATCTCTGATTGAACTTGTAATATGCTCTTTAATCAATAGCCTTGATGTAAAATATAATTTTTCCTAATATCATAAAACAGAAAACAACTTCATTTATAGATGCAACTGCATACCTTTTGACTTTCAAATTTTTATCTATTTGCATTCTATTACCTGTATCCTCCATCTATGTCACTAATATGATGATAAGATAGAAATCCAAAAGGTAGTTGGATAGATAATATAAGCCTTTTTTTGAAAATTTGCATGAATCGTAGTACATATTTGGGTCAATATGCATCATAAGAAGAATCATATATTCAATTACTTTCATACTATTTGAAAAATGTCAAGGAATATAAATAATGTCTTTAACGATTTTGAATTAGCTAATGATTATTTATATGATTTGTAAAAAGCCTTATCAAAATTCAGTGACTAATTAGCTAGAAATATTTAATGAAATCATATTCTAGGTTATTTTGTATAGTATGATTATATTTTCTGACAACTATGAATTGGACTATAATTTAAAAATGACGATTGGGTATTTTCCGATATGCTTGTCGCTTTTATTCATTATGGTTAATATTTATGTGATAGCGATAAAGAAATTAGTTTAAAATTTGATAGAGATTTGCAATAGGATAAAAAATAGAGGTAATCATCAAAACAAGAAATTTTTAGGGTACAATTATCAAAATAAACTACATTCTTGCAGTACTATGACAGTGCAAACTATTAATTCTCAATAAAATGACTTGACTATGGATATAGATCTGGATTAAAAAAATTTGAGAGCAATGAAAGAAGTAAATAAAATGACACTTTACAATGAAAATCGAAGTATTTAAATTGATTGGACAGGTAAAGGTACTTTTAATAACGAATCCAATAATGAATTAGATTAATAATCAATATTTTCTGATGAGATTAGAAAAAAACCGATACTTAGGTAGAAAATTGAAAGAGGCTACCATGTTTCTGATAATTTTCCCAATGCTTAATGAATAATTAAAATGGATAAATGTGAAGATTAATGATTGAGTTTTTAAATAATTAAAAGCTTTTGTATTATTAATTTTATTTGTTCATTCATTTTTTTATTGGCTTATCTAAACCGATGGGGTTTTGGGGTTTTGGGGTTTTGGGGTTTTGGGG